CTTATAAATCTACACCCGTACTAGTCAGTAATGTAATTCAATAGGCATAGATTTACAGAGTAAATCAATTAGTGCTGAGGACCCAACATCACAATTATTCTTGTTTCAAGGAGCTTTGACTCACGCTAGACTTCATTTGGGACCGAACGCCCAGTCCAAGCATCTCAAATATCTGAGGTGTGAGATAATGTTCTGGTGCAGGTTCACCTGAAAGAAATTGAGTTCATGTACTCTTGAGACACAAGTGAAACAAGGCATTTCAGCTGGGAACAACCAGAAGGTTTCCTTAAAAACCATGTTCTGGATCTAAACTCAAACACTAATATAGTCATATTTCAGCAAAACACTCCAAAATTGCTTCTTATTTTGCAACCTCAAAATGTTGATATTTTCCTTATTTCTTTCATGCATTATTCTCTTTTTACAGCTCATGTATGTAATTATCCAATGACTTTTTCTTGGAGTCATTCACAGCATAGGCTGCTGAACAGCATAGACAAAAGATATCAATTTTCTCATTTTCTACCCCCTTTCATTTACTTCTTGCACTTATAAAAGATAGCAGCTTATCATAAAATTGTTCCTGGTCATTCAAGCATTATGTGTTTCTTGCAGCTGAGGTTAATTCAGGAGAATATGGGTGATTTTGTCCTTCCCTTAACAAAGTACATTGACAGCTTTAAGAGAGAATAATAACTAGTTTGGAACTTTGTATTTCAATATACTATTTCTTGTGAATTGGCAGTGATACTTTTTTTCAGTGTGGTTAGCTGTTATATTTTCAATCTTTATATTACTTTGAAGAACTTTTTAAAAACTGATTTCCTTACCTCATGAGGAGTCACTCTTCTTTGTTTTTAACATGTTACAACATCAATAGTGAAATGTTATAATATTGCTCATTTTGATAACAATAAGCTCCTCACAATTTATGAGACCTGTTATTTTTAATCTTCTCCGTAATAGAAAAAGTAAGCCTATAAGAAGAAATGACTGCTGTTACATATACAACTCAATAGAAGAATGCATGAAAATTATTCCTTTAAAGGTGAAGACTAAAGTCTGTGTATTATGGCAGTCAGCAGTGATGATCTGTCTTTTTGTCTATAAACAAACTGAAACACATCTCATAACTAGTTTTAAAGATCATAACCATCAACTGTAGATTTCCAGGAAGAATTCAGTTTATTATTGCTTTTTTAATTAGCTGAACTGTGTAATGTTGATATTAAAACTACTGAAAGCAGGACTCTTGATGCTGCACAAATGAAAGCAATCCAGTGTCTCATTTACACTCCCCTCACAGTGTCTGCAGCAGAACTATAAATAGAATAGGCTGCACACAGAAATTTATTATTGCAGTTGATAGCAATTTCTTTGCAAAGGTGTCTGGGGGCATTATTCATGAGATTCATTCTGATAGACTCTCCAGCTGAGATCCTCACTTCCCAGACCTGCGGGTGGTCAGTTTAGGAACATACTAATCAACTGCTATGAACAAAGACTGCCACAAGACTTACTTATTTCCCTCTTTTAAAAAATACAGGAGGTCTTTCAGCTTCAGATTATTTCCTTTAATCTGATTGCATGGATATTATAAGCAGATAGCGGGGTTTTCAAATCACATGTATTTGATATTTTATCAGTGCTCATCCTAATGATTGCGCTATTATCAGAAAACCACAATGACTGTGATTTGATACAACACACATTATGTCCTCTACATTCATACCCACAGGCACATGTGACCTTATCAAGTATAAGGCAGACATGTTTCTGTTCAATACTGAGGATATATAGCAATCACATGAACTAACCTATCAAGCTATTATCTAATTTTGGACATAAAAAAAAGGGAAGGATCAAATAAGACCTTTAATGAAATTATATTTATAATAAGTGATAGATGAGAATGTCTTACACTTCTGTTTTTCCTATCTGATTTTTGTTTTCCTACCACGTCTGTCGTGCTATCTTTGAATACTGTAAGAAAAATAATTTGTACAAATGGAATATGCATATTTCTAAACCTTTTGTCACCCCTCAAGATTGATTAGAACTTATCATTCTATTGCCTATTCTAATATTTTTTTATGACAGAAAATCTAAGTTATATGATAGCAGAGATATTACCTGTTTATTCTGTTTCAATTTCAATATAGTTACCACTGTAAGCGTAATTCAGGGCTTTTTTTTACATCCTACTGTGTTACCACAAGCTATATGTAATACATGATGTATCCATTTGCAAAGTAAACTCATTTTTTTTTGTTGTCACATTATTTCATTTTTTCAGACATAATAGAGGACTTGTTTTTCTGTAGCAGTTATTTTGACTGTGTTATAAAAGATGCAGCACAAGCAACTGGTGAGATGTTAGAAAAGTCACATATCTCACCATGAAAGGAAATATAAAATAAAAATATAAAATTAAACACAAAAGAGCCTGTATACTCGAGTCACCAATAAAGCATTATGGCATGTCTAATGCCAGGTGCACTACTGAAAACAAAGACTTCTATTACAGCTATAAGTCAAATGCCACTGGTTTTCGATGAGCCTAAAACCTCTTCTGTTTATTTCAAGAGCATTTTGGTACTTATACATATTTTTTTTGTTTTTAATTTAAATTTGTCAGTGATGCAGAAAATTGGTATTGTGAATGCCCTAAACTCTACACTGGAAAACTCTGCCAGTTTGCGACTTGTGATGAAAATCCATGTGGAAACGGTGCTACGTGTTTTCCGAAGTCCAGTCGAGATGCTGTTTGCTTGTGTCCATATGGAAGATCTGGCATCCTCTGCAGTGAAGGTAAAAACCATTTTCTTCATGCATTGGTTGTAGTTTCTATAATTCATAGAAGCTGTGGTAAAAAAGTCAAATATTTTGAAGGCAAAATACTGAAACTGATCACCTCCCCACCTACAAACAAAGCCCAAAATCACAGTCACAGACAAAGAATGGCTGAGCTGATCCCCAAGTGTTGTTTTATGAAAGCGTGGGTCAGAGAAAGGGAGATAGATGGATCAAAGAAGCTGAGAGTTTACAAGCAAGGAAATAGCAGGTTGTGTCTGATGTTTTGGTAAACTACCTGGGGAAAAGCTGAGAGAGAGATTTGACTGAGAGCTTCTTTGGAGAAATTGATTTACCCTGTAGTTTGATTTTTCCCCTACTTAGGGAATCATTACTTTGTACATTCTGCATATAAAAACAGTGTGTAAAGAATACTTTCTGGATTGTAGGAATACCACCAGGTACCAAAATTTGATTAATTTTTCAGGTAAAAAAGAGGAGCAAATTAAAATTTACCAAGTGCTTTGCCATGAAACAGGAGACACTATGAAGGGAAATTAATAAAGCAAAGTAAATAGGTCATTTTGACCTATATTATCAAATTAATTGATTATAAGCAAAGTATTCTTGTCCCCTAACAGTCAATGTAACAAGAAGTACTGATTGAAAAATCTACATATAGAAAATAATCACTGGTCCTGAGCTGATTTAGTGATGCATATGAAGTTCCTTTTCAAATAAATATTAGGCAATGTTTGGTTTGATTTTGTCATATCAGATACGCATTTAAGTCTTATTTAAAATTTTTATTTCCAAAATTTTCACTAGATGAACATTTATGTTTTATTCATGTTTTCATCTAACCCTGATAATTACAGCAAATAGCAAATACAAGAGGCAAATATATGAAATGTGTGTGATACTTCCTTGGTAATCTTAGCTTGCAGGAGCACAGTACTTTTGGACTTCATAGACTATATCTCTAGTCATACAACCTGCCTTTCTTTGTTCCTTCTCAATTGCACTGCATCCTCTTTAAAATGAGGCTCCAGAGCTGACTCAAGGTGCAATATTCAAGGTGTGATAATGCCACTGCTTTGAACAGTAGTGTTTGACATTTTCCTCTTTTACTCTCTGCCCTTTTCTTAGACACTTCCTCCATTCTATTTCCTTTTATGAGTATACTGATGTATTCACGAAAGTGCTTATTAAAACTTCTAACACCTCTCTCTTTGAATGCTGATGATAAGTTCAGAACCCACCATTTCACATTTAGGATAGGACTGTTTCTGAAATCTACCCCAATTTGGATCTGTCAGTGCTGAGTATCATCTAATGCTTTTTCTCAGTCATTGTTTAACGAGGCTCTTCTGAAAACCCTTCATATCTAGCTGTTTCTAAATTTGGAGATCTCAATAAAAATTGAGATGCTAAATTGAGAGAAAGTAAACAAATTCATTAGTCTGATTATACTACAAATCTGAAGTCTTTGAAACCACAGAAAAAAATACTGTTATTGAATGGAAAGGGAAAAATCTTTTTGGATCACCATTGTGAGCAAGCAAAATGAGAAAAAATACTCAGCTTTGTAGAACAGAGTACAGATGGAGAGTAATAAGGCCACAACATAAGAAATTATTATTGAAATATGAAAAAAATATTTTATTGAACTGTCTTAAGAGTTTAGAAGGAACAGAAATAAACTAAACACAGACAGAAGTCTTGAAATGAGTTGCAAGAGGCCCCATTACCACATATTCTAAAACAAAGAAGGGAGGAACAGAGACACAATGCAGTGAAGTCTGGATGCATCCTTAGGGATAGTCCTAGTGAAGCCATACTTTTGGGGAGCTATTTGAAGATAATGATAGATTGCCTAATTAAAATGGTAGAACAATTTTAGAAACAGAAAGCAAATTTAATTATTTACTATAACAAAATGAGTGTCCCAGATAATAAATTTAATGGAAATAAATGGTCCATTAAAATTAAATCATAGAAGTGCACATTTTAAACAAATCATCTTTTTTCATTGTGTATAAGATACACAATAATATTGTCTCCACTATTAAGATTAGTAACCTAGTGCATGCTACTTTGTGTCTGAAATACTGAAGGAAAGCTGATTTCTCCTAAATGTTTATCAAATAATAGTTGGTTTCCATCAACAAGAAACAAACAAGATGTCACACTGATTATTTGATAAATCAAATATAGCTACTATGCCAAATAGAGTTGCAATTTCCTGTCAGCTTTGCTGTTCCTACCAATACAGATTACTTAGGACAAAGTAAGGATAAATAAAGAGGTAGACAGGGCCAAAAATGAGCCCACTGTTATAGGTCTTCCCCATATCAGAGCTCCTGTTGCCATCCATTAAGAGCTGGAAGTCAACCTAAGAGCATCAATCTCTACAAGTATTTAAGAAGTGATAATAAAACTCTTGTCACTATTAAATGAAACAAAACAAAATAGAGAAAACAAACAAACATCAAACAATTTGGGGTTTTATTTGTTATGACAAGTTAAAGATACATCATTTTATGAGAAATGTACAAAATTCAAAAGGGGAAGAAAGTTATAGGGCTACTCTAAGCATGACAAATGCAGCAAAAATATAAGGAGGGATAGCAACTTCTGTTAAACAAACCTATATAAATATGGAAAAATAGACAAAGTCTAGCACTGACAAGGAATTTTCTTACATTTCTGAGGCAGATGGAGCATATTGCAGTCTTAACCGACTGGTAACAGTGGCTCTGAGTTTATCTTAGTTATCTCATGCTTGTTTTATACATTAATAAAAACTTCCTAAAAGCATGTCCATTTTTCCCAATATCCGTAGCAAAGTGCATTCTCACTCACTACACTTTTTCCTTGCTTTTATCACTAAATGACCACATTATTTTGACTGCAAGCTGAGCATTATACATTGAAATCTCTCTCAAGAACCTACCATAGCTAAGGCATAATGGGCCAAGGGAATGGGGGATAATAATATAAAATAGAAAAGAGGACAGGCTGTGTTCATTAGGCAGAGGACATGGCCAGACAAGCATACTGACCAACCAACTATTCACATGACTGGCCCTTTTTGTCTCTGTATCCCTCTAGTTTTCCACACTTGTTCCTCCCCAAATCACCTAATTGTCTCCAAAAAACATCCTTAAGTCCTGTGCTATTCCAAAATACTCTTCACCTGCATTCTGTAACAGGTCCCATACCTCATGGCAGTTACACCCCTCTGTCCAAATGGTGATTGATCCAGTGTTGATTCATTGTGGTTGTGTCACACCTTAACACTAGGGCTAAGAGCCTCCTGGGACAGGTCTGGGAGGGGTCTGGACAAGGTGTTCCTTCCTCCGAATCCTTAAATTGGGTTCCTGCCTGCCACTGCGCTCTGTGCTCCTCTGGGATTATGGAGATGGACCTGTGGTGGGCTGATGGTTCCTGGGATAGGGCTGGGATTTGACTGTTGATTTGTGGAGTTAAATGCCTCCGCGACTTCCAGCTTAGGGGGGAATAGGGAGGGGAGGTAGAGCACACCATCATTATGCAACACATTGGAACAGAGACTATGTCTACATGGACAGTTTGATTCTATCTCCCAAGTGATTTGAGCTTTTTAAGCTGTATATAGAGGGATCTATGTCATTAAACCGAGTCCAATTGTTGAGCTCTGTCTTTTCAGTAGATTTGTGTGAAAGCAGCCAGCATTCAAGCTAGCTGATTGATAAATTTCCTTTCATATTTAAATTAGTAAAAAGATACTTGCATTGTGGGTTTTTTTGCAGAATGTAAATCTCCTCCAGTGTTTAATATCACAGATTTGATTAGAGTTGTTGAATTGCTACCACCTCTGTAATCAACCTTTTTTTTTTTTTCTATTAACACTCCCATCTAAGCACAGACTGGAGGCATTCTCTGGCTGGTACAGGAAATTGATATAGTCTGTAAAAAAAAAATAAAAAAGACCAGTACGTTTGAAATGTCTGAGTGTAAGGAATTTTGTTATATAAGACACAGAAATTTTAAATTGGAAATATCAGGACATCATCGTACTGTGAGGTTGTGATGGTTTCCTAAATGCAAGTGAAGCAGAAATGGTTCATTCACCAGGACTGGAAAAGAAGAACTGGACTTCAAAATTCTTTATGCTATGTTGTTGTTAATTGTACATTATACAAGAAACAAGGCCCCTCTGGGAAGCAGCTGGTTGTAACATGAGGCATTTTGTTAAGCCAGGAACCAAGAGCAAGCACTTTGTAAGCACAAATGCAAATATAAAGAGAGAAGGATTTCAAGGGAATGTGCATTGCTAAGATGAGTAATTGTGTAAGTTGCAGTGTTTTAGACCAAACTTCAGTGTTTTAGTTTCATATATGCGACAACATATATGAAGCAGACCTAACTGTGACACCACATATAGCAAACACACCCTGAAAAGGGCCATTCAGAGCACTCATTCACAGCAATCTCTAAGGATCTTCCTTGAAACATTTCTCAGCAACATTTATGGTAATGCTTCACAGTCCAAAGGATTCCAGCAGGTTTTCTGTAGGATGTATTCCCCCACATATAAAATTCATTTCAAAGTGTTGAAGTGGAAATAGCCACTTGCTTCAGGCTCTGTAGAGCGAATATCAGCCTGCAAGCGAATTGTTTCTGTGCAGCTATGTTTGGCACAAAATGTCACCTTCAGAGCTGTTTGAGTCTGAAGACCAAATCATGCACTTCAGTGACAGCAGATGCCCAAAGGGTATTTCCTCAGCTAAAAAAATCTGCATTGCAAGGTTTCTGGTCAGTGATAAAAGACCTTGGGGAATGCTGATCAGGGTTGCTCTTCTTCCTGTTCAAGACAATTTGTTTTCTGGGTCGTTTGGTTTTCAGTGGGCCTTAATGTCCACCACCTCTTCAATGGAAGAGGAATGTCATAAAAATTGTAAAAAACACACATAGGCACACTCACACACTATTATGTCACTGCTGTATTACCAGTTTTTTAGATTCATATTTTC